CACACACACACACATATATATATACTGTATATTTATATATATATATATATTTATATATATTAGAAGATTTTTTTAGCTGAGAAATTAGGCAAAGTAGATTATGTTCATTTGGACGGAATTCATTCAAAATGAGAAGGAATTAAACTTTCTCCAGTTTCCCTTTTTGATGAGGACAAGATTTGAGGGATGTGGGAAGCGCTACAACATCACATGACTACTCAAGAGCAGGTAGCAAGGTAAAAGGAAGAAGAAATAGATAAAAGGCCTGATCTTGTACAAGGCAGAGAGATGGGCAGACGATATGGCTCTCTGTGGCATGTGCATCCAATGGCCCTACAACAGTAAGAGAAAATGTACATAGTTTAAAAGAGGGTTAGGAAAAATAAAACTAAGACCAAAAAAATAAATAAAGAACTGGACCGAGATGAAGAACATGAATGATTTAAATGGAAAGAAAGCTAAAGCAATCGTGCAAGAATATGTTGCAAGTTAAAGGAGGGGAGTGGAAGGGAAAAAGAATATTCTGTCTGCCTGATTCATCGGTACACCAGGTGAGATATGGTGCCAGTTTTGAAGTTGAGCTGATGGTTGGGCACAAAGTTGTGCTGAGGATTCTTTCGCGTGCACATATCTTTTGCATACAAGCCCATGCACGAGTCACATGACACTTTCGAACAGTTCACACAGGTGTGTGATGCACCTGGCTTGTTGCAAAACCCGCATCGCGATCCCCCCATGCTTATTCGCTCACTGCTGCCTCCCTTTGGTGTTGTCAAGGCAACAGACTTGCTGGGAAACAGCTTAGTGGACATGAGGGGCTTCTCCACCATCTGAGGGTGAGGGTGGGGATGAGAATGTGAGTGGGTCAGTGTGAGGGGGTGTGGATGGAGATGGGAGTGAGTATGAGTATTAGAGTAGACAGAGAGCTTTTCCTTGACAGGAATGTATCCATCAAGAGGTCGTGGAGATTTTAGATGGTAGTCCTGCAGGCCACAGCAAGGGGAGGGGTCCACATCATGACAGGCAGAACAGAGGATCATGTCACACCTCTGGCAGGAGGCCATTGTGGTGCAGCCCAGCCCGCAACCCTGGCACTTCACACTACCATGACCTTTGTGCAGCCACCCATCCCTTCCATCTCGAGGCTCTCTGGATAGAGGTCGAGACGGGGTCTGCCTTCCTCCTGTGCCAGCCCCACCCCTCTCTGTGTACAAGTCAATCTCATCTAAAGAGGATGGATGGTAGGATGTGTAGGGATCCGCTGGGGGAGGTGACTGAATTGGGAAGAAATCTGCAACAGGGCTATAGGAAGGTGGAGCAACCACAGAGGAAAGAGATATTGAGGTGCTGGGCCTGATGATCTCATCTTTCATATCCTCCTCTGCATCCACAAATAGAGGCTCCTTCCTCAGACTCAATGAAGCCTTCAAGACAGGCTTGCTAACCGCTGCATGCCAGTGACCAGCCCCATCTGTAACATCCACAGACTTAGATGGTCGGCTACCTCGCCTAAGGTGGTGGGCATGAGGCTTTTCTATATCCAATGGCCGCACGGACAGCCGAGCCATATCTGCCCCAAGGCTGTCACGTCTGCGGAGCGCTTCAGCACAGCCAGCTGCATCATCTCTGCAACCTCTGCGGAGCTCCAGGGCCTCCAGTTCTGACGCTGAACCACGGGCCAGAGCCACTACCTCTCCCAGAAGACGACACTCTGCCTGGGCCAGGAAGAGTTCAAATGCCAACTGCCGCAGATGATTTGCACCTCCTGGATGCTCCTGCAAATGGAACTGCGAATCATGGTCACAGGTGTAGCCAATGGTGCGCATTAAAGTTCGGAGTTCAGCATCAGAAATGGCAGACTGCAGATGGTACACATATGGGCCAGTGAAGGTCTTAAAGAGAGAAATGAGAATCAGCATAAGTGTCAGTTGTTTAAAACAGGCTGACATGAAGCCAAAAATAAAGACAAAAACATATAGAAATGCACATCTTTATATGAAAAAACAGATGATTAGCACAAATTACAACAACCTCAATGTAAAGCTGCAATGGCCACCTCTCTAATAACAAATACTTATTTTAGATATAGTTCTAGATAGAATTAGCTGATAGATTCAAGGGAAAAACAAACAAAGTGCTTTAGAAAACCACCAGAAGTGGGGACAACTATTTTTTTCCTTTTTGGGTGGCAGAAGGCTGTCTAACATGTACAGAAATTTCCCATAGACAATCAGTTAACTTGATATCTTGTGAGGGTGAACGCCATAAGATCATTCATAACGGTTTCGGCTCTGTGTGCAAGGACATTTCCCTCTCCTATTAGGTTAGAAATGTTTCACACCAAACAACTTCGTATTGAGTTGCAGTGCTTTCCCTCTAAGAAGACAAGTAGAGCTAAAGAATGCCAGCAACATAAATCCCCAAAGCAAAACAGAGGGGTCAAGAGTTACAGCTTTCCTTTTAATTTGTCACTTATTCACCGAGCAGAAGCAATCATAATAACAGGTCCTCTTTGCATGTGTGTTCACTAAAATTACAAATCTATACAAATTTTAAAAGTTTCAGAAAAATGTTCTTACTTTTAGATATTAATTTACTAAAAAACATGTCAAGCAGTTTATGAAACAGGGGATAACCACTCATGTACTTTCAGATATGCTGGTGGGATCAAACTTTTGTTTGTATACACACTTTATGATGTTAGGATTAGACAACAAGTAATTAAGGTACAACAACACAAATCTCTTAAGATTATGCAGATATCAGATATCTGCATAAAGCCTGAGAATGTGTACACAAACATAAAAGTTTCGCTTCCATAATAAAGGTCAGGAAAGATATTCATATATATTGCCTGCAAAAGACAGTCTGAAAGATATGCAAATTCACAAAAGTATTTCGGTGTACACACGCACTGCCCTGATTAATTGCCAAAGCTCAGTATCTCAAAGCTCAAGACTGGACAATAATGATTCATTCTGTTATAACAAGTGTATTAATAGTGAAATTTTGGCTATTAGAGTAAACTAATCTAAGCAAAGTATATTAAATATCCCATCAATAAAATAAAGTCACCTTTATACATCTGAATTCCTTCTTCCAAGGGAAGAGCAGGAGGTTGGTGCAGATGGTTTCCAGGGTATGGAAGGCTCTCTCCAGGCCCTTCAGGTTAACTCCTCTCTGGGAGCGGAGGGAGTTCTCCACTACCTCATAGAAACGCACCATGCGAAATCGCTGTGCCGGATCTGGCTGATAGGCTCCTAGCAGAGCTGTGGCTGTGGAAAGTAAGGCCTCACTGTCCTTGTGTCTGCTTCTTTCCCCTTCTTGCGTACTTCCAGTCCCCCTGTTATCCCCTCCTTCCTCCAGGCGCTTCTCCAGTGCTGTCACATACCTCCGGAACAGGTCCTCTTTTAACTTGGCATCCATTATTAGCAGCAGACTATTAGTCAGCTGTTATACTTTTCTGAGAGAGCCTCACACCTTTTAGCATGCCCAACCACAAAATGCCACATTCAGACACCATTTTTGGTTACCATTTTTTAAACCGTATACACTAATTGTTAATGTTGCGGAGAGATGGCAGAGGAGTCAGTCTTTGCATCCACTCAGTAGCACATCCTCTAAGCAAGAGGTGCAGTTTTCTAGTGCTTTCAGTTGGTGTAGCAAGGCTGTAGCCCATAAGGATGCCTTGGTATGAGCATCTCTGGTTTTGGCTCAAAACCTGACTTGTTTCCCAAAAAACAGGCTTCTGGCATGCAAGATAACGTCAGGGGGAGGTTTTCCTTGGCACACAGACTTGCATCTATTCCATTGCTTGGTTTCAGCATTGGTAGAGTTCAAGGTCACTCATCAAGACGACAGATTCATGATCTTGGGGTTGTTGTCAGCCATGTCCAAGCTGAAATGACACAAGCAATATCTGTTAAGATAAAAATATCATTTTCGGTTCTAGCCAAATGACAATGCAATTTAACTGTGGTTAAGCATGTTTTGAAATATCTAGAGGTTCAGATAAGAGGGAAGATACACTAATCCAGGACCATCTCTGTAGAGATGTGAAGATGGATTCGTTTGGGTGGGTGGGTAGGTGGGTTTTTTGTCTGTCACATAGTAAAAGGGCTTTTTTTTTTTTGTTTGTTTGTTTTACAATGTACATAACCAAGAAAAAGGCCAGTGGAATTATAGCTTAAATAAGCAAGAGAGGAACTCATTACTGATGTATACATCCCTCTCACACGTTTGCGCCAGTGTAAGCGTTTCAGCTATTGGTACTACATGCGTGTAAACCAGAGTGGCGCTAACCCTAGCCCTAGCTTAGCTTCCAACTCAAAACTCATAAACAAACACATCGTGAAAATAGTACGAGGCTTGAACAACAGGAGAGCAAACATTTTGCTCTCAGATTCTTGCAAGCTGGCTGGCTGGCTATACCTGTTACCTGAAAATCTCTGCGAACATCCGCTCAACGAGCTAGCAACCAATGAGCCTTAGCCAGACTCATGCTTTACAACTGCGTATCTACTACAACAAATTTAGTCCACCGTGACCAATGGCAATATAAAGTAATACTCTTAGAGCGTATACATTAATTCTCCATGAATCTCAAACCCGATGCTGCCACTGCTATGGCCCCCCTACTGAATATAAGCTAAACAGTGAACGCCCATTTCAGCGTAGCTGGTTAGCTAACAATTGCTTTCGGCTAGCAGGGCGTTCCATCGCTACACAGACATTATTCGCCAGTTTAAAATAAAATATCAAGACACAGCGAGTTTTTAAGGTGACCTTCTTTTGGGACCAAGCGTTAATGCGCTCCCACTAGGGGATCAAGACGTTTTTTCAAACAGAAATACCACCATTCGCAAATCTTACCTTTAACAAGTGCTAATCATGGCTAGCTACGCCTCCTCAGCTGTTGGAAATTCCCAGTATAACAACACGCATGCGCTCAATCCTGACAGTTCATCAGCATCAGGAGCCCACGTGCTAGGGAAGACGGGATACAGACCCCCAACTACATCATCCACAGTCTTCATTCATTTTGTTTTTGTTTTGCTTGGGGGAAAAAAATATAGGCTCGCGTGCGCGCAGAGACAGATTTCCCGGGTTCATAATGATTTGCCGAAGGTATGCATTTAGTGGTGTGGATTTCCTGCTTTTTCGTTGTATTAGTGCCTGAATAATTTTGATTTATTTGTATAACTATATATTGTAATATTTTCAATGTCTCTGGGGGGTTTCAAAATCTAGTGGGAGGGGTGTGTCACAAATTTAGTAAATATGTCGTACAATTATGTGTTACGATGTTTACTTTCGCCGGTAACCCCGCCCCCTCGCGCTTAAAAAAGAACAAGAACCCGATGACGTCGTCACGGGGACGGTTGGTGCTGGTGGTTGAACCGACTCAGTGAAGAAAAGAAATGGCGATGCTCGGAGGCTTTAGCGCAGCACCTCACAAGAAGAACGCCTCGGACGGGAGCAACGACGTGTCCGAATTCGTCTGTCCAGTTTGCCTCGAAATATTCGACAGTCCCGTGACAACACAGTGTGGACATACGTGAGTATTTTTGCCGTTTATTTTCGGTCGCCCTCCCCCTAACCCGCGTCTGCCACCAACGATACAGTGAAAAGAGGCAAAAACAATGGAGGAAAGGGCTTCACTTTAAATGTGTCGTCACACCAGAGTTGCAAAATATCGGCCTCGCGAGTGTCTTCTCGTGCTACGACCCCGTTTTTTCTGTTTTTCTCTCTCGAATATGTGACAAAAACAGTTCCAGCTTGCTAAATCAGTTTCAGTTTTGTTTACATCAAAAAGGAGGCCTCACTTGGGAGTTGTAGTTTGGATGTGTATTGCTCTAACTCTTGAAACCACTTTAAAGAACTACAAGTCCCTGGCTATTCTCGAGGTGGGGGACTTTCCATATGAGTTACAGGAAGGTCCAGTCACTAGCATAATAAAGGTTTGTTTTAGTGACAGTATTTGTTCTTTGTTTTTTCTCATGGCAGGCCATGCGTTAATGCAAACAGAGTTGTTGCATGTTTTTGTTTTGGTTTGTTTTTATTTTATATATATATATATTATTATTTTTTTTTTTTTTTTTAAAGCCTAAGGTAACCAGAGCTCAAATTAAAACTGACAATTTAGTTGATTTCTCTTGTGTAGCAATCACATTCTTTCACCCATCTCTTGACAGGTTTTGCCACAGTTGTTTGCAGGAATGTCTGCGTCCACAGAAGCCCGTTTGTGCTGTATGTCGAGGTGCTCCGGGCCACTGGACTAAAGCTGCTCAACTCGAGGCACTTATTCAATCTTCTGTGGCAGCTTGTAAGGGTTGTGGCACACAGGTAAGTTTCACTACAGACCAAAAGCTAAAATATCACTGAACTGACTCCCATTTATGAAGCAATCACAGAGGGTGAAGATCCAATAACTGCACATGCATAATCTTAATGTTTTGCTGTGTCTAAATTTCTGTCTTTATATTTAGATAATAGCAACAATTTTATGATGATGGTCATATACTGGAAGTTACTGATATGTGTCACTCCTCCCCCAATTAGGTTGGGCTTTCTAAGATGAGAAGCCACACAGCTGCCTGTTCAAAATACCAGGAGTACATTGAGGAGGGAGTCAGGACAACTGCCCAGAGTCAGCCTGCCATCGTCAGGTGGGGAAAGAAGCAGAACAATTATTTGCTATTCCCTACATAATAAAGCAAAATGGTTTACACTGTAGAGTCAGACTTTGCATGCAATTACTGCTGCTTGTTGGGTTGTATAAATTAAAGGTCACCTTTGGACCAACACTAATCCAAAGTGAAAAAGGAAAAGAGTGTAGCCCTGTCAGTCGTTTCAGTGAGAGGGCTTCATTAATGCAGCAGAAAGTACTGTACATAGGAAATAGAGTTCTGTTGGCCCAATCAAATATATTCAATGATATGATTTATGGTAGATTTCACTGTAACTTAAGTGCCAAATGTAAACAGTTGACCTGTTCATTGTGACAAATGATGGAATATCTTCTCGTGATATAAAATTCCCTATGTTTATAGTATTATAAACTCTTGGCAGTACATTGTTGTTTGATAAGACTCCAAAGTCGTGACTCTATTACTGCCTTGTTTCACTGGCATGCCTAACATGTCAGTCAAATAAGAAAAGCTCTCTTGCGGTTTTACTTTATGTAGTGTATACATTTTGCACTTAAGGTAAAAAAATAAAATAAATAGAAGTTTTTGCACAAACGGGATTTCAAATTGAACCCAATCTTGATTGCAAGAAAAATAGTATTATAAAGTATGATCAAGCATATGCTAAGCATTCTGTATTTTACCTGTCGTAATTTCTGATTGTAATTTTTCCAGAGTGTATAGAAAACAGTACAACATTCATCTTTAGAAAACATAAAACACTATTATTGTCAAGTTGTATGAAGTGGATGTGGTTTTTATCATATATGGATGTTAAGTATTTATGACAACTGTGCTTCCTGGAGAAAGTTCCGAGAAGATGGTTTGAGAAGCCGTCGCTTGTAATGAGGTTATTATGACTAATCAGGAAGTAGCCTTTTTTGGGGGGGGCAACCCAAACAGCAGCCTTTAAAACTAAGAATCCACACATTGTGGCATGTTGTTCCAACACTGTTTAAAGTAAGAAACCGATCCCAGTATTTATTTATTTTGTTATTTAACCCTCCAGACCTTTGTGCCATGAAACAGATTCCTATTATTAAAAAGAAAAAGGAATAACTGTCACTTTTAAGTCTTTCTCAAGCTCTTTCAGCTGGTGCAAAGTTGATGTGACAAGAGATAAAGATTGGCCACTAACTGTGGTAAATGTCCACTTATTTCTTCATAAGCTGATGCCTGTTACATTTCAAGTGTAATCATGTAGTTGAGAACCAAACCTTGTGACATTTTATTATTTCTGTTTCATTGCCACAGTTCAGTGCCAAATCGCTACACCTTCACCTGCCCCTACTGCAACTGCCAGAACCTCGACCAGGATGGCCTGGTTGAACATTGCACAACCCAACATGCTCGAGATGCACGCCAAGTGGTAAAAAAACAAAACAAAACCTATTCTGTCATAATTCTGAGTTTCCACACACTTACTGGCTTCAGCTGGGTTAATAATGTGTTTCAAAGATCGTTTTATTACCTTCATGTTTTCTTTAGGTGTGCCCCATCTGTGCCTCGATGCCTTGGGGGGATCCTAACTACAGGAGTGCTGACTTTTTCCAGCACCTGAAGATCAGACACACTTTCTCCTATGATACATTTGTTGTAAGTAAAGCACTCTCTGTTTATTTGTTGTTGGGTTTTTTTTATGTTAATAAGAATTTAAGTGATTTTTTTTTTCTTTTCTTCCCCTTCTCATGCTTATGACCTCCCAGGATTATTCCACAGATGAGCACACAATGATTCAGGAGGCTTTACAGCGCTCCCTTATGGACCACTGAAGTGTGAAAACAATCCACCGGTGGAGGGAATCCAGTGAAATGAAGGGATGATGGTCTTGAAAAGACAAAAACACACAGTGTCATCATTCATCTAGAATGGGGATGGTGGTACTGACTTATGGGTAATTATTTTTCATAGGGAACTGGTATCGTAACTATGAATATATAGGTTTATTATTCTGAAAATAAATCGCGCAATATGGTTAAAAAAACAAAAACATAGTGTACTGTTTGATTTAGGAGTAATACTGTGTTTCTGGTGTGATAATCACTTATCTTCCCCTCCCCCCAGCTGAGTCTGTAGACTGGATAGTTTGTTAGGTATCTGCTAAACTATGTTTAAGCTGTTTGTTTATCAATGACAAAGTGTCATCTAGCAACAAAACATCCAAACTTGCGATTTAAAAATTCTGCAGTCAATACTTGATCTTATGAGAGGGTCTAACCACTAGGTGGCTACCTATTGCCAGCAGACAACAAACTTCACTCCGTGAAGTCTTCAAGTAACAGAAAAATATATTATACTAATTCTACTCGCATGCTTATGCAAAAGGTTAAAAAGGGTAAAGGGACTTTTATTTCTTTTTCTTTTTTTTGACCACAGTTCTTTAGCAGATGGGGGGGGGAGAACTGTCTTTTCAGTGCTGTCTTTGATTGAAGCGCGTGTGTTTGTGTATTAGAGTGTGGCTGGGTGTGTTCATTCTGTTTTGACAGATCTACTGGTAAGAATAAACAATGAGGGTCAAACACAGCTAGAGATGGCATTTTTGCTTTTTTGTGATGTTTCTCCCTTATGTCTTTGTGCCTGCTGGTAGATCTTGTTTTCAACCTTCCAGAACTCATAGGGCTAACACAGTAGTTCATTCAGTGAATCTACAGATGCAAGTATTTAAAAAAAAAAAAAAAAAAAAAATATCTGTGTGTTTGGGTTCATTTGGTCACTTTCATGTGAGAGTTTATTTGCATGTGTCTAAACCACAAGAGGGCAGTAGAGTTCTACATTTCTGTGACAACATCACAACAGCTGGTTCTTGCAGGACATAATTGAAGACAGATTTCATTCTATAAGTGTGCTTTACCCAGTGCTTTGTTCTCCACTTATTACTTTTGTTTTAATACAAAAAATCACCGGTATTTCAATATTTAGGCTTTTGGTGGGGTTATTTGTCATTGTTAAAACAAAATAACCACATTTTCGGTTTGTGCAGTTGATGAAGTGACATAACAAAAGACTTTAAATGTAACTTATTGATGTGTGTTTCTCATGCCCAGTGTCTTAGATGGTCTATACTAAAAACACTCCAGTTTCTTGTGGCTATCACTTTCTCCTTTACTTCAACAGCTTTGAAACATAAAGATCCATGGTCATTTATATGTATGCTTCCAAAAAGACGGCATGTGCAGTTAGGAAAACGAACAAAAAATCAGTACAACTTTGCTTGATCTTCTTTTTACTGGATGTCTTTGGGGGGAGTTTTTGTTTTTTGGGGTGGGGGGTCTTTCTTTGCAATTGTGTTCTTTTTACATTAATGATTCTTTCAACTTAGTTGTAAGATTACCCACGTAGAACAGGCTCGTTTGTCTTCTGCCAACAGGTAAATAACAAAAATCTTAACACAGCAGATTAAGTAGCTCTAGAGCAGAACCTCAATGCCTTCTCACCTAGTCTTTGGTTCCACTTTGAACTAGATATTTTCTTTTTTCTTTCTTTCTGTCTTGTGCAATGTGTAATAATTTTGTATGTTTTTTCTAATGTTTAATGAACTTTTTTTTTTTTTGTTTGTTTTTTCTCTTTCTCAATATATCTCTCATTCTCTTCTGTCAGCCCTACTGTCAGCAGGTGCTAAATCCTGATGAATTAAAGCTCTTTAATTATTTAAACCCTGGCCCCAGAAATCAGGTGCAGTGATTTATACCTGTGTGTATGAGACATGCGGGGGAAGAAACAACACTCGGTGCTGATGGATGACCACTGTGTGTGTGTTTGTGTGTGAGCGGGAGGATTTAAACAGAAAGCACTTCACAGCACTGCGAAAACCGGACGTGCCCAGTTGTCATAATCTGGCTATGAGCAAAAGCTGTGGATGAAGGAAGGCAAGCTTTCTGCAAGCCTTTCTTTGTACATTTGAAGTCAAGCCAGGGTCGTGTTATAACGACAAAGATCTCGCAGCGTGGTTTTACATGTATGTGTAACTTCATGATGAAACTCGGGGCTCTTCAGTGTACATTGTCCTCGGAGAGAGAAAACCCTCTCATCTCTCCTCCCTTTTTTTTTTTTTTTTTTTTTTTTTTTTTTTTTTTTTGTTTCTTTCATCTGTAATTACTGTAGCTAAATGATATTACGGCTTTACACCTAGCTCTACTGAGAATCTCATCCACCAAACTTCTTGATGTCACCCCCCGTTCTTATCCTTTCTTCTCGTTACGTTTCCCCCAATCAGGTTTTTGCTCCTGGCAGATAGAGGAGTGATGTTAGCTGTGAGAGAACTAACGAGATACTCGAGTGCTTCTGGGCAGGAAGGAAGTCGAGCTGAAAAACATGGCAGGGAGAAGTCTTTCTTGTCTGTTTGGTGGCGCAGCTTAAAAGGGAGAGGGGGGCCAAGGTGGGGAATAGGAAAAAGGGAAGAGAAGTGAACACATTGAATAAAAATTTCATAAAGTTCAGTGTGTGGTTTCTTTGATGCGAGCAGTGGATGGTGCGTACAGTCTGCAGGCTCTGTAGAGGCAGCAATTAATGGTACATGTGCCCAAAGGCAAACTGTGAGAGGTGTGGGGACGGTGGCTCGTTTTGTGTGTCGTACCATCACTATACCCGAGACATCTCTTTGCTGTCTTTTGTTTTCATTCACTGTATTGTAAACCTTCTCTTTCACCTGAACACTGATTAAAAAGAATCGCTCCTGAACTTGTATGAAGTCCATATTGTTCATGCCTGGTAGCTGTCTAAATTGTTTTCCCCACACCAGTGACACTTGAACACGGCAAATTCAGCCATCAGTTTTGTGACATCAGTGAAATTGCACTCTTTGCAGACTTTCACGTCATCGTGAAACTGATCTGTAGAAAAAGGGGCGACGCAAGACTTCATCTGTTTGCTTTTTAGCACGATTTAATGTTTTAACAGACTCAGAACGATGGGTTTCATCCAACCCTAAAACTGTGTGTTTTGCCCAAAAACTTTTGTTCAGAGAAAAAGAAGTGGTAGGTAAGGTTCATCACCTTGTTCTTTTGGTGGAAGATATAGCGTATAGAGTGACTACATATGTAGCGGTCACCTTTAAAAAATAGTTTTCTAACATTACATGTAATGTATTTCTGCGTGACAACAGACAGGAACTCCTGGAAAGTTCTATCTTGGTCTGTTTCCCTCTCGGTTTTGCTGAGGCAGGTATCTCTGATGAGGTGCGGGGCATGTGAGGAGAGCACTGGGAGTTTGTTCACCGAAATATTCCTCAAAGTCAGGAGAAACAGGAAGAGTGGGAATCCTGCCACCCGGGTGCTGCAGCTCAGCAGGTCGGTCCTCTCAAATGTTTGAACAGAAAGTGCCAGTGGGCTTCCCCGACATCAATACTGGTTCTACACCAACTCATCTTCCGCTTTTAAACTCTTAACAACCGACCCCCTACCCCAACCAGACGCGCGCGCACACACACTTCTTGTCTTGCTAGCCTAAGAGCATCGAGTCTTAACTTTGATTTAATAACGCCTGCAACCAACTTGGCCCTGTATCAGCTTAAGTGAAACTTGCATATCTTGTCTGTGCGCATGTTCTATTTTTGCACCCTGACTTTTGCCAGTGTTATGACAGAGGTACTTAGAATTGTAAGAACAACATAGTTTATCTTTATTATTGTCTCTTAAAGACTGGGAAATGTATGGGAAATGTAATTTAATATACCACAAGGAAAGAACAGTTTTTGCATGTATTTTGTTTATTCAAGCAAAAGTTTTGTAATTTTTTCTAAAGCTACTGTATGTCCTTCCCCAAATGTGGCTGCAAAAGCATCGTGGAAAAAAGCCCTTACATTAGTTTTAGGAGACCCTGTAAAAGCTTGGAAAGTTCTGAAAAATCACTGTTTCTGCAGAAATATTCTCCTGGAAGTGAAAATGAATATGAAGCATGTTGATATAACTATCAGGAGAATTGCTAATCATTGCTTCCTCATTTATTTATTTATTTGAAATTCACACAGCCGCTGTACTAATATTTGAAAGTTAAGTCCTCTACGGTGTTTTTAAAAAATAAAATAAAAAAGCGGCAGGGTGGGCGAAATCCCTGGTGTGTATGTGCGCATTGATGTCACAGTGGAGTATCAGGCCAAGTGAGGCGATCTGATCTAAATCTTACCCCCCCTCACTTTACCATTTTAGACCAACTAAGATGAGTGGAAGAGAGTGAGGCCCAAGGCTATTATTCTCCCATTAATTTTTCCATTTGAAATCAAACCTCAGCGGGCATGCAAGAGGGAATCAGGGGGGGGGGGAGAGGACTACAGTGGGGATAACCTTATCAGGATTGGGGGAGTGTGTGAGGGGGACAAATGTTAGTTGTAGCAGTATTAATGTCCAATAGGGGAGGCAATTTCACTTTCAAAGCAATGCTTGTTATTAAAGTGTCTGCCCACTTCTTCTTCCATGGTCCAGAATGGCCCGTGGGAAAACTGCATGACATTAAAACATTGTTTTTTAGCTCTATGGTTATGAAAACCCACAGAAACATAACTTTGATTATTTTGATTGGGTGTTTTTTGTTGTTGTTGTTGTTGTTGTTGTTGTTGTTGTTTGTTTTAAATCAGATAGTTTAATCTGTCCATCTAACTGTCACTGCTACAAAAAGAGACACATCTGTACAGTCCAGTAAATCCTCTCAATTCAATTAGGATTTCTCAGTTCTCTTCCATTTTCTTTTACATCATTAATTTCATACAGCACATTTTGTATCTTTACAATGCCTCATCACATGCCTACATCCTGGGGAGACCTGGTAACCTCCAGTCCTCCATCCTACCTACCCACACAAGCGCATACACACCTCCTCGACCTCACACTTCCTCTTCAAGCCTCTTTCAGTTCCACTCACTTACCCCCCCCCCCCCCCCCCCCTCTTTCTTTATAAAAGCGCCAGTGCTTGCTAATCTGTCAATCAGATGTTGTCCTGTTGTGGCGATGATGGGGGTCCGTGACGGTGTTCCACACACCTCCTGCAGCTCGCAGCTCG